ATCGATAACACCTCGCTCGAACCGATCGCGTACGCAACCGACGTCTGTTTATACGATATTGCCGATCTTCCGGGGCGTGCGCGTTCTTCTAGTTCACTCGCGCTCTCGAGCTTCTGACCCAAATGACAAACATAATTTTCACATCCAACAATACTGAGGTCATGAAAAAGGCTTCGTCTGCCCTTGGGGAATACTCTGGGACTATCGCGGACTCCATAACGAACCTAGGTACGGACTTCAACATAGGGAAGGTTCGAGCCAGCAGAGGATATATATATATACATATATATATATATATCGAAAAATAATGCCCGATGGCGCATGGAAGACCCACGTTGCGAAGGCGCGCCCACCCATCGACTCGCCCCAGTTGCGTTCTGTGCGTCTTGCACGCGGTATCGAATTTCATGCGCGTTTAAGGCTGATCCGTCACCTTCGGCATCAGCGCAGGCGCTGCGCGAGGAGCCCGGCGGCTTTCCTGGCCCCGTTGCCCCCCGCCGAGGTCGCGGGCCTTAAAAAGGGGGATGCGAAGTTGAGTCGATCTCTGCGCGCTGCGGGGGTGCATGGGGGGAGGGCACTTGTCCCCGCCTATCGCGCCCCCTTGCCTTGCCCCCCTCCTGCCCCCCCCCCCCTCGGATGTTGCCCCGCCTGGCACCCATGTTGAGTGGGGGGCGCTGAGGAAGGGAATGGGGGGCCGCCCCTCTCGGGGGCGATTCCGCGGGATTACTTCGGTTGCGCTTTTGTGTTCCACCTTTTTCTCCTGGATTGCGCCTGCCGAGGGATCTCCAGCACTGGATTGTGGAAATGAATGTCTGCTCTCCGCTCACTCGGCCTTTGTGGGCGTTGTCCGTGGATGTTGCGAATGATAGGGTCCGTGGGGACCTCCGAAATGAAGGCGCCATCAAGCACTGGTAGGGTCTATCAGGGAATCGTCGTGGGGGTTATGTGTGGGACTCCTAGCGAGACCCGGTCCACCGCTCGGTGTGTTCCCCTGGCCGATACCTCAGGGCCCAGGCCAACCCGTAGCAGCGAGGCGCCGTGGGGGATTCCCCAGCCTCACCACCGCTGAGCGCCGCCAAGTTGCCTTGGGCAACTGCTGAGGACGACAGTGGGATTTCTTGTAACTTGTGCTTGTGCTGGCGTATGTTGCACTATGGGGCATCCCGAAGTGCCCTGGAGGAGAGGAAGAGCTCCATCCTGGAGGTGTCTTGAGATGGCGTGGGTTGCGTCACTGCCGTGCGCTAGCACCGTTTGCGTCGATCAATTTATGTTCGGATGTGATTTCTTGAAGCCCACCCGTCTGCGCGGGGTCCATGCGCCGAGTCTGACTCGGCTCGCCAGGTGCTGGCGTGGGGGGGAGGTGTCAGCACCGAGGAGGACACGTGGCCGCGGTTGGTCGTCGGGAGGGTGGGACTGGATTCCGCACTACGGTGCTCAAAAGAGTACCCGTCTGACTTGTGCCGTTTTCCTTGCCTGTGTGCGCCTCGAGGATGTGCCCACGGGGGCCCCGCTCGGTGTTCCTGATACCGAGGTCCCCGAGGTCGCGAGGGAGTTTTTCATCTCCCTGGATCCATTCTTCGAGTTCGAGCTGTAGCATGACTGCGCACTTGGGGGTGCCCTTACTGAGTGACCTTCAGCTTCTCTAATTCATGTGGTGGGCGATCCGGATTCATTCCCCTCGTCGTGTCAGCAGCAGCAGGAGGAGGAGGAGGAGGAGGAGGAGGAGGAGGAGGAAAGAATGAGGAGGGGGCAAGGGGGGGCCGAGAGTCCACGTGGTGACGCACCACGCGGCGACCTCGGAGCCCCGAGAGAGATCCCACCGCGCGGCCCGCCGCCGCACGGCTCCATGGGGACCTCGGGGGAGGCCTCGGTTGCCCGAGAGGCGTCCTGTCGGAGAGCGGCCAGGGAGGCCCAAAGCCGTGCGGCGGCCCCGAAATCCCCCACTGGGACGCACAGAGACATACTAATACTTCATATATCCTCCTTGGAGGCGCGCGTCCGACCCATCATCATCATCATCATCATCATCATCATCATCATCATCATCATCATCATCATCATCATCATCATCATCATCATCATCATCATCATCATCATCATCATCATCATCATCATCATCATCATCATCATCATCATCATCATCATCATCATCATCATCATCATCATCATCATCATCATCATCATCATCATCATCATCATCATCATCATGATCATCATCAGCATCATCAGCATCATCAGCATCATCAGCATCATCAGCATCATCAGCATCATCAGCATCATCAGCATCATCAGCATTATCATCATCATCAGCATCATCAGTACATCGATTTCCCGAGCGGCGTGGCCAGAGAGCGCCCGCCACCACGCATATACAATCAGATTTCTCGGTGTGCGCGTCGCACCTGGGGGCGACGTACACCTAATATTAGTATGTTGGGGTGGCGCCAACCCACCGACCCACCACCCGGTGTGGTCACCTCACCATGTCGGGGGCCCCCGAAGACCACTGGAGGGCGGACGGCGGCAGAGGGCCGAACGGGGCGCCGGAGCTGAGCGGCGGGGCTCCGGCCGAGAGGGCAGGCGGCGGAGCAGCTGTGGAGCCTGAGGCGGGTTCGTCCTTTCGCTGCACCAGGCGGAGATGAAGGATCGGAATCTCTCGGGCTGTCCCTCCGAGCTGGCCAGGTGGAGGGGGGCGGGCCCCGAGGGCCTGGAAGGGGGCCGCAAGGGAGGTGAGGACAGGGACAAGCCCGCGAAGGAAGGTCTCCTCGCCGCACGTACTCGGCACCATGCAGAGGCTATGAGGCTATGAGGCTCCGCCAACGCATCGTTCCCAGGCAGCAGTGTCCAGCGCGCCCCTCAATGAAACTACAATTTCCAAGGATACCTCCTCCCCCGTCCCACTCGCCTGCAATGCCTGCCCTGGCTCTGCGGGTGCTTTCCGTAGGGGCCCTGAAATCCGCCCACGTTGTCGGCGTGTGTGAGCGGCTTTTCCGTTTGAGTCGTGCTCGTCGTCGTCGCCGCTCCCCCTCAAACATTGCAGCCAGAGGAAAGCGAGCAATGTCGCAACCGAGTCGAAGGGAAGCACCTTCATCCCCCCCATGGGTGGGGATCCTGGGAGGGTGAGGTGGGGGTCCTAGGGGGCGGGGGCGGGGTCCTGGGGTGGGTGGGGGAACACCGGGAGTGTGACCCCCGCCCCCCCAGGCAGGAGCAACCCTATCTGGAATGAGCTTTCGATTCCAAAGCGTCAGCGCCGTCGTCGTCATCGCCGTCGCCGTCGCCCCCCCCTCCCCTTCCAAAGTCGGCGGCACTGGCAATAAGGCCTTCGCAAGAAGAGTGCTCGTTTCCAGGGTTTATAGCCATATGACACTGAGGGCACCGCGAGGTAGAGAGAGGGTAATCCCTCCTTCCTGCTCTAGCATCAGGCAGGAATCGGAATCCCTCGAGCTGTTCTTCCGAGTTGGACCATCGGAAGGCGCGGAGCGATGCGAAAAAACTCGCAGAAACTGCCGGACGTCACGCCGCATCCGTCAGATGGCGGAGGGAGCTTGGCTGTTCACATGATGCCGCCGTAGTGCTTCTGGAGCCTCTGTGCATTGGATCCGCCACAGTTCCTTGGCGAGGCAAAAAACCATTGGCCCCACCGCCGCATCGACCACTCAAACTGGTTCGCTATATTACTTCCTCCTGCTGCTCCACATCTCCGTTTCCCTGCACGTTCTCATCCTCCCAGACGCGGGAACCCAGGTGCGTGCGTCGATGGTACAGCGAGATGCGACATGTAAGCTCCATGGTGCTCGTAAATATGGCTGGCATTGATATAATACAGCGTTCACTGAATCATTGTGGCGTGCCACGTACGCATGCCTTTATATGGCATCGGTCCTCCTCCCCCTCTCTCTTCCCCCCATTGCTCAACACACCCGTGGTGAGCTCGCAGAACGCCCATTCTCGTTTTCTGCCTGCTTTTTCCTCCGCTCCCAAACAGTGCTTGCATGTAGGGGTTCCTCCTGGTGCCGCTGAAGCGTTGGATGGGTCCAGCGAGGATTTTCCACGTTGCCGTCCGTGCCCGCCTCGTGGCCGCCATGCGCTGGGTGGGTCTGGCGATGTTTCGCCACGTTGCCGCCTGTAGCCGCCTCGTGGCTGCCTCGTGCTCTGTCCAGATGGGTCTGGCGAGGTTTCGCCACGTTGCCGTCCGCGCCCGCCTCGTGGCCGCATCGTGCGCTAGGTGGGTCTGCCGAGGTTTCCCCACGACGCTGCCCGTAGCCGCCTCGTGGGCGCACCGTGCGTAGTACACTGCAGCGCTCTCACCACATCAAACGCACATACCACACACCACATAGATTGAACCAAACATGTTGCATCACATCGCTTGCACCAAATAATTCATACCATGAGCTTACACCGCTTAGATCACACCACACACGCTGCACTGCATAGATTGCGCCTCATAGCTAGTACCTTACAGCTCACCCCGCATAGCTCACACCACACAGACTGCACCTCATATCACGCACCACATAGCTTGCACCAAATGGCTCAGACCACATATATATTACACCACGCAGCTTACACCGCATAGCTCACACTAGATTAATTGCACTACCTACAGTTTGCCACATAGCCAACACCTCGCAGTTCAGACCACATACATCACACCACAAAGATCACACTACATAGCTTACACATCCACAGTGCAACATCTCACTGTTTGAGGTCCACGCTGGCAAATATACCACCAGAAAGTGCGGGGGACACGCAAGTTGAAAGGGATGCCTGCTGATCAACGAAAATTGGAGCGACAGGCAACACACACGCGAATAACTCCAGAGACAGTTGGACAGGAAGAGTACCCAGGAAGAGTACCCCACAATGAGTGGACAAAGCCATGGCATACTAGAAAGTATTCTGCACCACATGCAACAGTTCAAGAGGGGACGATGTGCAACGAAACTAAGGAGCGTACAACGCGACCCATGGATGCTCCAGGACCGCGTCTAATGTCATCCGCTCGCGAGGGTTCTTGTGCAGCAAGCGCGTGATAAGGTCCTGGGGATGATACATTATGCTGCTGCCAAAACGGTGCCACTCGACAGCGCAAATGCCCTTCTGCTGATCATGATGCTCAACATCCTTCACGGTGCGCATTCTGATTTCTCGCTTCACGGTCTCTCCTTCCGCTGGATTCCCGCTCCAGACATGCACGAAATTATGAACCCACTCCAATGTCGTGCCGGTGGATGGGTCCAAGGATGGATGGATCCCTGGGGCTCTCGGGGCGTCTCGTGGGCCGTCGGGATGTCGCGTGCGGCCGTCTTGGAGCGCTCTCGGGGCAGGCTGGAAGCATGCTGGGAGCCTCCCAGGGCGCCCGGAGGCCATCTTGGACGCCGTGTGAGCGATCTCGAGCCGAGTCGAGGCCTCGGAGGGCGGCCCGGAGAGCGCCCGGGGGGCGGGGGGGGACCGTCGTACAGTGGGAGGGGCCGGCCCTAGGGCCGGCATCTCCCATATGTATATTTATATTATATCTAGGTGTGTGCAAATATGTATATCATCATGCATACGTACATACATCCATCCGACCACCCATCCATCCATACATACATTCAAACAGGCAGGCAGATAAACATACATACATGCATGCCTACCTACCTACCTACCTACCACCTACCTGCCTACCTACCTATATGCATGTATGCATGCATCGATACATGCATGCATGTACGCATTGCACAACTACATACATATACGCATATGCATGCACGACATACATTACACACATACATACGTACGTACATACATACATACATACAACAATACATGTTTTAAGAGTTCTGACATAATTTCATAAATGCCTACCTACGTACATACCTACGTACATATACATATACATATACATATACATGTACATATACATATACATACACACATACACATACATATACATAACCATATACATATACATATACATTTACATACGCATATACATATACATATACACATCTATATATATACACATATACACATATACACATATATACATACACATGCATACACACATTCATGTATGCATGCATGCATGCACATACACACCTGCATACATACAGACATACATACAGGCAGACATACATGCATGCAACCATGCACGCGTGCATGCATACACACATGCATAGCTACATACATACGTACGTACATGCATGACTACATACATACATGCCTAACTAAGTAAGCGTATAGCTAAATATATACATACATATATACATAATTGTATGTATAGACATACATAGGCGCAAACACATATACATACATACTTATACACATATACACATATAGATACATGCATGCATGCACACACACACACACGTACACACATACATACATGCATGCACACATACATGCATACATGCACACACACAGACAGACAGACAGACATACAAACTCATACCTACACACATACATACATATACACTTTCACACAGGTATATATATATATACACATACGCACCCCTCGTGGCCTCAGCCATGGCACTTCCCACATGCCCAACTAGCAACAATGACACAACGTGGGCGACCGGAAGGCGCGAAACGATTCAATAATGATGGGCCTGTTGTATTACCGTCACCATAAGTTGGACGGGGAAAGGGGGAGGACGAGGAGGAGGAGGAAGAGGAGGAGTACCCCCTCCCCCTCCAACTTCTGGTGGTGGTGGTGGTGGACAACGGGCCCATCAAATAACTCGGCCAGCGCACGCAGACCTGACGAGGCCATACGAGGCCAGCTCGGCCAAACCTGGCAGGCCACATCGATCAAACTCTGGTCAAGGTGTGCGGTTCAACGGTTACAATTAGGTCGGGCGTGTCCTCCTACATGCGGATTTTTGGACGGAAAGCAATTCAAAAACATGCTCCAAAAATATTAGAAAAAAAATCACATGAGAATAGCCCCCAGACAATGTTTGGACAATTTTTGAATCTTCTCCCTGTAGAGGGGCACGCCCGACTTAAGGTTACAACAATCAGGTCTAAACGTGAACGAGAACAATCACATTCGCCGACGCGGCTCTACCGACCCTCTTGGTTCGAGATGCAGGCTCGCCATCATGCGAGGCCACTGCAGTAGCAACCAATACGAGGGGGGGGGGGGGAGAAGAAAGCAGGGCGGAAACAAAAAGGATGCAGGCACACCTTCGCCTCCTTGGTGAGGTTCGGCGGGAAGACGGGCGTGCCGGACTTGATCTTCTTGTAGGTGCCCTGACCCCGCAAGGGTAGTGAATTGACTCCCGGCGCGACCAGGCGAAATCGTCCCGCGTCCTATCCCCCGAACCTCCGCCCGTGTTTGGTCCCCTTCACCCCCCAGCCTCCCTGTTCCTAGCAACTCCATTGCGGGCAAGACTTGTATCCATGTCTAGTACGGCTCAGATGTTCGGAAATCCCTTCACTAGACAAAATCGAGATGCAGTAGACATGGATAGAGATCGGGCATCCAGCAAGGCCATATGGTATCCACATCCGCTGCTTTTGGGACTGGGCATCCCTTCCCCAAAAAATCCAAGACACCGTAGGCATGGATATCAGAGTCAGGGGCCGAACGGTCTCTCACTGTCCCTGGGTGTGGCCCAAATTGGGATCCGCGGTCCTGACTATTGTTGTGTTTGTTCGTTTGCTTACTTGTTGAATTCTCACTTCTCGAGAACGATTCTTGTCGATCTGCCCCCCTCCAGTGCACCTTGCGCGTTTAGAGTCAGGTGTTCCTCCTAGGGCTCGCACGCTGTTTTTTTCAAGGGGACGTCATCCTTCTCAGGCTGTGCCCCTGGCCCCCAGTTTACAACAACAACAGCAGCAACAACAGCAGCAACAATGACAACAACAGCAACAGCAACAACACCAGCAACGGCAACAGCAACAACAGCAGCAACAGCAACAACAGCAGCAACAGCCACAACAACAACAACAGCAACAGCAACAATAATAACGGCTCCCGCCTTATACTTCCTGAAATTGTATTTCAAAATCGCGCTCTCGCGCGGGATGTCCTCACAGATTCTGCAGGAGTCGCGCTCTCGCGTGGGACTTCCTTGCAATGCTCTCGCTCTGGCTTTTCTCACGATTTACTTGGGAATCGCGCTATCGTTCGAGGGCACCTCGCGATTCATGCAGGACTCACGCTTCAGCAACCCGCCTGCTCGACCTGGCCGCCTGGGCACGTGTGTTCTGCTCCTAGCCCCTCTCCAGCGAATCTCTCTATTGCTCCGTCCTTCTCCCTGCCCCCATTCCCTCCGTCCTCTCTTCCCCTGTTCTAGGGGCTGCGCCAATTACACGTGGTAGGTAAGGTAGATATACCCCAAATAATACCTCACTCCGAAGATATAGCCCCCCAGGGTGCACGACCGAAGACGAAAAAGGCGGGCATCGATGGTTTGGGATATACGTGTTGAACGGCACGCGAGCGGGTAAGAACGAACAATCTGTGTTGTCGTCGTCCTCGCAAGCGACCCCTCCCCGGACCCCCCCCCGCGACCGACCCGCGACCAACTCCGCGCCCGCCCCCTCACGTAGCCCGGGTTATCCGCGGGGGGGGGGGGCAGGCCGATGACCCAACCTGTTTGCCTTGGGCAGCCCCAGGTATGCCCACGCGCACACGTACTGCGCATCCCCTTCGGGCCTTCGCAACCGGCAATCTGGGGGAGGGGGGGGGCGGACGGGCCCGATAACCTCAGAAGGTCTTGAATTGTGCCCCCCCTGTTTTTCTCGGCGGTGAATAAACTTCGCCCCTCATCCTCCTCCTGCTCCTCCTTTTCCTCCTCCTCCTCCTCCTCCTCCTCCTCCTCCTCCTCCTCCTCCTCCTCCTCCCCCCGTCCTCGTTGCTGCGCGGCGGGTGTCGCGGAGAAATAAGCATGTTACACTCTCGGTGGGACCCCAGTCCGCCAATAAGGGCGTCGAGAGGATAATTAGCTTCCACTCCTGGGGCGGTCTGAAGACCTATGGGGGTTAATGGAAGAAGCCATAAACATAAACTTTTGGCGCTCCGCGCGGATTTCTTGGATCTGCACCGGACCCCCTCCCTGGCGCGCGGAGCGCGCCAGGGGCGGCGCCAGAGGCGCCGTCAGGGGGCCCCAGCGCGGATCCAAGAAATCCGCGCGGAACGCCTAAAGATTATGTTGGCGTTTTCTCCTCTCCGGGTTCTCGCCCGGTTGCCACGGCGCCGGGGGTCTGAGGAGCAACCGCGCGGGCGGAGGGCGTGCCGCGCCTCGAGGCGGGCGGGTGCAGAGCTCACGCGGCACGGGGCTCGAGCTGGTTTTGCGAGCTGGCCTGTTTTGCAACCTCGTTTTCGTTTGGCTTTCGTTTGGTCTTCGCCTTCGCTTGGTTTTCGTGTTCGTGTTCTCCGCTCGTTTGGTGTTCGTTGTCCCTCGTTCCGTCTTCGCTCCGCCTCTGCCAAAGCGAAAGCGGTTCACGACATCGCCGAAATGGCGTTTAGCTCGACCTCTGTAAGGAAGGCGGGTGGTTTCACAGTGTTCTCTCGCCCCGCAACACTGGCAGACTTGTCGGTAGGGTGGCCCGGGCGCTCCACCCGAGATATTCACGTTTTGCCAGTCAAACTTGATATTCAAGCAAGAGCACGGTCGAAGGCGTTCTGGGTCCCAGGACAGGCCCGAACTTTACAGCGGATCGCTCAGATGGAAAGCGAGTGGTTTCTCAATCTGGTTCTCGCCTAAACCCTTCCCGCGCTCATCCCGATCTTGGCATGCCCAGTAATCACTGGCATGGAGGGCGGAACCTTTCCAAATTCGCAGGGCACGTTCTTGCCAAACTCGCGCTCCCGCCTGAGACGAGACACGTCCATAAGCTACGGCTAGATGTTTCGGCATACCACCAGACCAACACAATTTGCACTACTGACCAATCCAATGCGACCGAACCGCGTGTGCAATTCATTACCCTCTGCGAACCCACCAAACTGTGAACAACGCGGGCTGCGATACCACACCGTTTGCCGAATCATGCTTTCAAGCGGGCACCTATTTTGTCTGGAGCGCCTGGCGCAACATGGAATTACCCGTCGGTGCGAAGAAGGGTGGGTATAATGAATAAGCAAGAAGAAGTTCAACGTTCAGCTTCGATTTAGACGTCGCCCGACCCTTGAAAAGGAGGAAAGTGGAAAGCAGTTCAATTCTTGTGAAGTAGGAAGGCGCCTAAAGCAGATTGGCATCAGGGAATCCAGCAAGACCAACGTCAACCAACCGAATGGTAACAACCTGCATTCGCAAATTTGTGCTCCTACGATGTCCACACACCGCCGCAACGTAAGGGCTGAGCGCGCGGCTTGACGCTGAGGTTAGAACAAAAACCAGAGGAGTACTGGACGGAGACTGCAATAGCTGCAAGGCTGGATACGCTCGAGAAACTACGGCAGGTCCGTCTCGTGACGACCACAGTGTTGGTGTCTGACACAGTGCGGGTCGCTCAGCATTGAACGATCGGCGGCTCCTCGATCGCCAGATCCTTCCACATTGGCCAATTCTGGGCCACTTGCGGCGTTCGAACCCTGAACGCCTGCAGCGCGGTCGCTGCCGCGTCGGCACGACACGAAACCACCATAGGCAACGTTCGTTCGAGAGGCTGCTAACCTCGCGAATCTGGAGAGGCCACGGAGATCCCAACAAGCGGGACCATCAAGAGAGGCCGGACAAGCTGGAAGTGCCACAAACATTGGGCAAGGGGTGCTAAGCTGAAAAGACTGGAAGAGCTACAGAAACGGAAGGGGCTGAAGAGTCTGGACGGGCTCGGGGGGGAAACAAAAGCGCACCGCCTGGGATACCTGCATGGCGTTACAAGGGGCAGGGAACAATCAAGGTCTAGCATCCGTGGGAACGGACCCTGGCCGCTAGGACATGGAGGGCAGCAGCTCAGAGGGCCGCCACCAAGTGCACGGCGAAGACGAACATCATGAGCGGAGGAGAGGAGGATGGGGCCGATCCAGCGCGCAAGCGGCGAGATCGGAACCACCCCCACCCCCGCTGCACCCTCCTCCGCTTCCAGGACGGCCCCCTCACCCCTGTGGGGTAAAGGCCGTGGCGACGATCTCCAGCAGCAGCTCGCTGTCGCCGCCGTGGCGACGAGCTCCAGCTCCAGAGGTCGCGGGCGCCCGCCGCCTGGAGGAGGGCGCGGGTGTCGTCGGGAGGGGCCCCCAGCCGCGAAGCCAGGACCGCCCTCCGCGCCGACCGCGTAGCCTCGCCGCGGGACAGCAACGCCGCCAACAGTGGGTCCGCCGCGAGCGAAGCCGCGCTCGCCGCCCTCGCCGTCTCCTCCGCGGGCACCGCCGCCGCCTCAACGATCATCGCCGCGCCAGGGGCGTCGACCCACTCGTCATCGAAGCTGGAGGCGTCGGCGTGCGCGCCAGCACCGACCTCCCTCCCGTCCACCACCATGTTGGCAGTGCCATCAGCAACGGGCCCGCCACGTTGCGCTCGACGGCTGCGGCGCCTCCGAGGCGCGGCAGCGCCTGCAGAAGGCTCGGCCGCCACGGGCGTGGCAGGAGCTGCTGCAGCTGCCTCCCCACGAGGCGGTGGGGCTGCTGCAGGCGGGCGAAGCCACGCGGCCTCGAGCTCCGCCACCGCCGCGCGGCAAGTCCCCATGTTCGGCGCGCAGCAAGCGGCAAGAAGCCGCTGCCGTGCGCCGCGGGAGGCCCGCCGCGCGGGAATCGCCAGCGCCGCCCCACGGGCAGCAGCCAGCGCGTTGTGCAGCTCGCGCTGCATCTGCGGCGCCATCCGCTCCAGGGGCCGAGGCGGGCGGCGCGAGCGCGGCCCTGCGGCAGGGTTTGGACCTGCATGGCGTTACAGCAGCTGGACTACGTGGGGAGGCCAGTGAAGCCGAAGAAGACGGAGAGAAAGTGAAGAAGCTTGAGAAGTTCGAGAGGTCATGCCGGTCAGGAGCAGCTGGAGAGGCCAGAAGAGCCCAGAAGGCCAGAGCCCCTGAACAAAATCTGAGTTACAGGAGAGCCCAGGGGGGCCCGAGAAGCTGAAGGACCGAGGGTGACACACAGACTGCACAAAATGTCCAGCGAGGCAAAACAATCTAGAACGGCGGCCGGTGAAATTCGAGAGGTTCGGGCCGCTTGAGCGGATGGGCTAAATCTCCTGGTGCAACGAAGCTGGATGGAGGTGGTGACGGCTGAAGAGTCTGTCAGGGAATGCTAGTGCTAGAGAGCATCGATTGGATGTGTTTACACGTCCGAGGACAAATATGCTGTAGAAACATGGCCAACGTCGGGTTGCTCTGTGGACCGAGATGCCAGGCGCAGAATGCGGAGCAAAAACAACGATTTAACGGCCCCTGGTACTACCCGTCGGTCGGAAGGAGTAGGTACAGATACCGCGTAGGAAGGCAGATGAAGTAGATTGGGTCCAGGCCCTCCAAGATGATAACACATCACAGCACAAGCACATCGGTCCTGGTAGTAGGAAGGCGATTGAAGCAGATTTGGACCTGGGGATTCAGATATACATACTTTCAACGACCGGCGTTCATTTACACAAGGCAACACCAACGCGCCTTCCCCTCCCCCCTTCCTCCCCTCTCCCCCCCTGCCTCCTCCAAGCGTGCTGAAGCGACATTTTTTGCGGCGCATTCCCATGCATGTTTCTTTCTTACGAAGAGTAGCCAACCGCGCCCTCTTCTGCCTACGCGTCCTGCCAGATGCTTGGCTTCCTTCCTCCCTTCCCCAATACCAACAACAGCAAGCAGCACACGCTGTGGACACGCATGCGCGCCATCGTGCTGGTGGCGTGCCAGCGCCTCCCCACGGCGCGCGAACGTGCGCTCGAGGCAGGGGAGAGAACAGCCGACCGTCGCGCGCCTTCTCGCTGTTGTCCTCGAACGGTGGTTTGCCTGGCAAGCTACTCATCGCTTGAAATGCTGTGCTGCTCCAACTCTGACCTGCACGATACAGTCGCACTTGATTGGCGAGAGACAGGGCACAATGGCACCCTTGATTTGGCTGGGTCGACCCACTGATCAGGGCCGACCCTGCCATCTGTCTGCGCGCGACATCCTTTCTCACCGAGTGCCCAGAGAAGCCCAGCACCTATCGCCGCGCGCTCGCTTTCTGTGCTCTGATTTATCCGCCACCGTGCCCTCCCTCGGCACGCAAGGTGGAATACCCCGAGGCTCACGACAATTGCAAATGCTGAGTGTTGGAAGATTGAGGATGCTGCAAGGCCCCGGGCACCCGATGGCCCCAGATTCCCGAGGGTATGAGCCTCCCAAGGTCCCAAACTGTTCGAAAAGATTGACTCTTTCACGTTCCGGTGCTTCAGATGATGCGCAAGGCCAGGGGGACCCACGGACCCCTTGAGAGGCTTTCAAGAGGGCTCGGGAGGCGACACAGGACCCAAGAAAGACCTCTCTTCCAAGATCCATGTGCGGCGGCGGGATGGGCCGCATAACAAAATCAAAGTCAACCCCGATTACGCCAAAAATGCACTGCCGCAGTGATGCCAATGGTCCGTGAAAAAATACCCAGGCGAAGGATCCAACCATATGCGGGTGTGAGTGCCGCAAGGCAGGCGGGACGAAGGAGGGGCCGGTCCCTATGGGGCCAAGAAGCGTGTGGTGTGTGTGCGCCGAAGTGGGCGCGGGGCCCCCATGCGAACCTTGCCGCTGGGGCCTTCGGTGGAGATTTGTGGGGCCAAGAAACATGTGCCGCTGGGGCCTTCAGTGGAGCCCTCCCTGCTGCGGGGTCACGATTCGTGTGAAGGGGTGTGCCGAACTGGGCGCGAGGCCACCATGCGGACCCTGCCGCTGGGGCCGTCGGTGGAGCTCCCCATGGTGACACGAAACTTGTGAAATGGTGTGCCGAATGGGTGCGAGGCCGGCATGCGGACCCTGTCGTTGGGGCCTTCGGTGGAGCTCCCTCTAGGTCCACAAGAAATTGGTGCGGGGCCACCATGCGTACCCTGCCGCTGGGGCCTTCTGTGGAGCTCCCTCCACGCAACGTGTGAGGAATGTGCCGAAATGGGCGCGGGGCTGCCATGACGCTTGTGACTTCGGTGGAGCTCCCTATGGGGTCACAGAACGTGTTGGGGATGTGCCGAATGGGCGCGGGGCCACCATGCGAACCCTACCGTTGGGGTCTTCGGTGGAACCCAATGAGACCACAAAACGTGTGATGGGTGTGCGGACATGGGCGTGGGGCAGCCATGCGGCTTCTGCCGTTGGGGCCTTCGGTGGAGCTCCCCAAACGGCCACGCGTGTGCCGAAATGGGCATACGGAGGAAAGAGGCAGGGATGGAGGATGGGAGGAGGCAGGGATGGGAGGATGGGGGGAGGAGGACAGGAGGACGCGGGTTGCTGTCTCTTCAAAACGAGGGCCCAACACCACAGGATGGGTGGAACCAAACCACTATAGCAACAAAGGCCAGATGTCACAGTCGCACCATATACGAATAAGAAGGGTTCTGTACTTGTAACAATCCTGAAGCTTGACACTGAACACAATCACGACCAGAATCTGAGATTTTGTTGCAGCGATGTGAAATCACATAGAAGAGCCTCCTGAATCCCAGGAGTACTATAATAAATTGTCTGCTGAGCATCCAGATGAATGCACAACTTGTTTTGACGGGTTACTCGACTCAAAATGCGATCGGCGCGTGCGCCGGCATCTCGTTCAGCTTGATCGCGACGATCCTCCGCGCCAACACTGGCGGAGATGGCGAATCATCGTGCGAAGAAACCTGCTTCTCGTAGGCGAGACGGGGCAAGGCTCAACCGTACTCCGAGTTTCTTCATAAGCGTCGGGGGGGCGTCACCCCCGCCGACAGCCCCGCATCGACACCCGTCGCGGGCAACCACCGCGCGCCGAAGGCGCTCCGACCCCCGTCGCGGCGCGACGACGAGGCGAGGTTGACCCCCGTCGGAGGGGTACCCCCCCACGCTTATTGAGAAACCCAGAATAGGCTCTGAAAGCTGGCGTCTTGGCGCACGAACTGCGTGCTCAACGAGAGCGGTGTGCTGAGATCGCCGGCGGCCTGCGGAGCGCCCGGGGACTCAGCTCCCCGAGGCTGGGGAAGGGACATAGGACCGTCTTGGAGGTCTATGCGGCCGTCTTGGGGCCGTCGCAGGGGACCGTCTTGGAGGCCTCCTGGGCCGTCTTGCGGGTCTCTGAAGGGCCTGATGGGCTGCCTTGGTGCGACTTGCGGGGGCCATGGGGTCGCCTTGGAGCGTCGGAAGCTACAAAAGCGAGAACGCGAACATCATGACAAAACCTGAGGCAGCCCACTGAATTTGACCTCCTGGGGCCCCTCTTGGACGGGCGGAGCGAAGGATGGCTGGAAGGAAGAGCGGACGAAATGAGGAAGGTGGGGGTGACCGCCACTGACCTGACCGTGCAACGCGCTCTGCGCATCTGGCCCCAGCCCTCAACCATCCCCGCCGCTTCCTCCACTCGGGCTTCCTCAACCCAAATGGTAATGATTCCATCAGCCTTCGCTTGTGATGTAGCGCCTGTCCGCCTTTAACTTCCTCCGCTTCCGTCCCATTCTCTCACTCCCTTGCCCGAATCAATCCTGGTCCTCCTGCACCCGTTCATAAAGCGCCTGGCCCCCAGGTCATCAAACCACGAGGACTGCTAGAGAGGCGAAGGGGAGACGAATCGCCAACGAGGAACTCGAACAACAACACTCCCAGGCCCCAGATGTCGACTTGGCTGTGGTATCTGCGGGGCGACACATCAAACGCATAATCCATCCACTCTCTGATATCTACCACTGATGATACCGCTTGGCAGCTCCACGGCAAGGGTACAGGAGCAAGGGGAGGCAACACACATACATATATGAACAACGATGAATGGATAACGCATCATAACATATAGCTGCCTGCTCGTTGGGTCACCTGTATTCGGCCCTCAATGGTGGCGTGCTTCAGCTTTAATAAGTGGATCATGACAAGGCCTGGGAAAGTTTGGAGGTCTCTTGAGAGACGCAAAAAGGTCCTCTCACAAAATGATTGCCCCCCAGCACGATGGACTTCAAAGGGCACAGGGGTTCCCCTGAATGCCCTCAGGGCCGCAAGACGCCACAAGAAGGCCCGAGAAGGCCCCAAACGGACAAATAAGGTCCATAGTCGCCCGAAAAGTAAATGCAAAACCTTCCCGGCCCATCTCCACCACTTCTCATGATTGTAGTCCTCGAGCTCCCTTCCTCCTACTCTCGTCATCGACGTCCTCCTCCTCCTCCTCCTCCTCCTCCTCCTCCTCCTCTGTTCCTTCTTCTGTGATGTTTCTCATCCGCTGCCGATTCATGTCCCTCCATCAACGCAGCAAGAGCCGACCGCAATGCAACACATTGTCGGTGAAGGCCCCTATCGGCATGATGAAACATCGCTTCCATTACCCGGCAAATCCGACAACTCCTGAGAAACAGTGTACAAGCAAAACTGCGCTACGGACATCCACATCTACGAAATCTGACTCCTCTCGTAAATGGTTCAAAACTACCCCGCGGAATTGAGACGGGTAGGACCGCAGCTCCCCCCTGCTTGTGGCTGGTCTAAACACCGACCCCCCACGCGATCCCCCGCCCCTGGGGGTCGCCATAGGCGCCCCTGGCCTTGACATATCCCCACTTGTTCGCATTAGCTTGGGGCCCCTGGGAACATCCGCCCCCCCCTGGAAACCATGGGGACACCTCGAGTCAAGGACACCTCGGCTCAAGTCGGGCATGTCCTACGACAGGCGGATTTGGGGCGTTCCTTTGGGGGGGGGGGGGAGGAAAAAACAAATGATGGTCGACCATATTCGAGAAATCGTCCACAGACTATTTTCTTCACTATCTTTGAGTACTCCTCCTGTAGAGGACACGCCCGACTTGAACCCTGGCACGGGCTTCGGGGGTCGGCAGGGCGGCGCCGACTGCGCCGCCGAGAGGGGGGGCCACCGCCGATCCGAGATAAATCCGCGAGGACCTTTTGGAAGGTTTGCGCTTAGAGACCGTTTGTTTTTGAATCGTCGGGGATCCTCTGACCCGGGTCAATCCAGACCCGGGTCAGCAGGAAACCAAAAACTGCAATGCAGGAAAAAAACCTGCAACGCAGGTCCTCGCAAACCCGGGTCAGCCAATACGCGCGGCCGCCTCGCCGCCACGAGCGGCTCCCTAACCCGGGTCAGCCAGAGGGGGCCTTCGCAGGATCCTGCAGGATCCGGCGCCCTGGCTGACCCCCGTTTGCACTGACCCCCGTCTCGAGGCTCCCGGAATCGGTCATAACCCGGGCTATCCGGGGGGGGGGGGGGAGGAGGGGACCGGCCGATAACCTAACCTTGGGGCTGTGGGCAGTCCTGCATATGCCCGGGTTAGGGTTATCCTGGGGGTTCTCCTGGGGGGTTTTTGAATCGGTCATAACCCGGGTTATCCGGAGGAGGGGGGAGGAGGGGACCGGCCGATAACCTAACCTTGGGGCTGTGGACAGTCCTGCACATGCCCGGGTTCGGGTCATCCTGGGGGTTCTCCTGGGGGGGAGGTGGGGCAAGCCAGACAGCCCGGGCTATCGCCGGACCCTAACACAAACAGTCTCTTATGCTGGTGACTGCTCTTCGGATACAGTCGGGGCGTTGACCTGAGGAACCCGGTATCAGGAACGAGACCCCTTTTTTCCATACGTTAGAACTTCGAGTTCCCATGGAAAGACCGAGGCGAACCCAAGGCAAACTGAACAACAAAATCAAGGAACACCAAGCGCCTCCCCAACGAAAAGGGTTCCTTCTTCAGCGCCCCGACTGTATAGTGTTGATTGCTCTTCGGGTACTGCCAGACCCACGCTAGTTGAAGAACGGGCGCCTCGCAACAGGGAGGGGACACAAGGGGAAAGGCATCAAGGGTTGCAGGAGAAGGGCCCCCCAAACGGGGACCCCGGGGACCCGACGAATTTCCTGTGCATATTTCGACCTCGCGCGTGCATGTTCCATTCGCAGGATGATCCAATATGCTCCTCGATGATCCTCGCCGAGACAAAAATGCACACGTCCGAGCGATGCCAAGATTACAGTCGGACCTAGGCCTGAAAAAAACATACGACTTCAAGAACATGCGACCCTCCGCCGTCCAAAAGACACAGAGCATCCAGGGGTACCCTCCCCCGGGCGCACACGAAAACATCCAACACACACGAACAACACCAGGGCACCCTCCCCGAACCGACACCTCGATTTTACCTCGGTCCGACTGTTAGCAACTCTGGGCCGCCGCGGGCGGCCTCCAGACCAAAGCCCGCGCCCTGGTCTGGAGGCCGCGGCGGCCAAGAGCGGCAGCGACTCCTCCTCGGGGGAGGAGGGGAGAGGAGGATGCGCCCGTCGAAGGCGAAGAAAGGAAAGGAGGAGGAGGAGGAACAGGAACAGGAGGAGGAGGAGGAGGAGGAGGAGGAGGAGAAACAGGAGGCGGAGGAGGATTTTTGCCGCTGCGCGGGTGCACTTGGTGGCCGTCGAGCACGGCCAAAAAGCCGCCTCTACGCGCTGGCGAAGCGGCGCGCAAAACAGCTGAGAGCACCCAAATTGCAGGCGCCTGCAACCACATAGGCCACATGCCGCCGCCCAAATGACGGCGGCGCCGACGCCTGCACAGAGCGAGCTGCACAGGCCTCACCACGACAGGGCCTGCCCCCTATGGCAAGACCAGGAGACTGTGCTCAAGACGTGTCGGCAACTAGGGCTGCCCAGGGAGCCACTGTCAGGGAGCCCAGAGCCTGACCTCCCCCGTGCCCCGAAGGCGCCAGCCCACTATGCGTCCCTAAACCACCATCGAGGAAGACCCTGAGGGCAACCGGACGGGCGAAAGTCAAGCGGGAGCCGCACTGACAAGGACGGCTCGAACCCCCAGATCGAAGCTGCTGACCAGCTCGGCAATCTCTCGGTGCAACTGTCGCCGCAGGGGGAAAATTGCCTGCAGCGCCGCACGGCCGTGCAAGCAGAGAGAAATATAGCCACAAGTCCAGCAGCGAAAAGGACGGCCAGCGGCCCCAGATCGAACCAACTACACCTACGCCAGCACACTGAGCCTGCAGCTGCATGGACACTGCAGTCTGCACGTCGGGGCAATAGCCCCGTGGCCTTGCGGAAAACAGAAACCAGGAGGCTGGGCCATCCATGGTGCGAGGCCCGGACTGATCCACGTCCACCGCCTGGGCACCGACGTCCTGGGGCGCCGGCGAGCGGTGGTTGATATATTTTGGCCCCCGGGGGCCCGGGGGGAGGAGGAGGAGGGGGAGGAGGAGGAGGAGGAGGAGGAGGAGGAGGAGGAGGAGGAGGAGGAGGAGGAGGACCAGTGTAAACTCAAGAGTCATCAACGATGTTGAAATTGACCCTCCTTCCAAGCGCCCTCTTCATAGGCCCCTACAACGGTTCTTTTCCATTGAGGAGCTGCCTCGTTAGAAGACAACCGCTTGAAGATCATGAAGCATGCCAACACATAGTTCTCGGGATTTCAGCGCCACGGACCGACCTGACTGCTGCGTCTTGACGATCTGGAATCGTGCCAGAATGCCATTTGGGGGACTTCCAACACCGCGAATCAAGATAACTGTTGCGCCCGCGTAATCCTGAAGCCTTTCAAAACGCCATTCCCCATTCAGTGCTTGCACTGAAGGGGTCCTCGCGGAGGATGAAAAATTTGGCGAAAAATTCCCGACGATTCTGGTCGCACGCTGGGTTCCCGGGTTCCCGGTTCCCGGGTTCCTGGGTTCCCGGTTCCTGGTTCCGGGCCGATTTCGGAGGGCGGCGAGGTTCCTGGGTTCCCGGGTTCCTGGTCGATCTTCTTATCGATCGGTCTCACCATCGATCTCATTACCCACTTCTCGATCGATCTCACCATCGATCTCACAATCGATCTCACGTTCGATCTCACAAGCGATCTCACCAGAGATCACATGAGCGATCCCGCGATCGATCTCGCTATCGATCTAATTGAACCGATTTCACTCTCGGTCTCACGATCGACCTTACAATCGTCCACACTATCGATTCCACTATCGATCTCATTATCGATCTCACAATCGATATTAAGATCCGTAGTAATAATTTTGAAAACATCCACTGATTGGGTTTTCTCAAGTGAAATGTTTCCCCAATCAGTGCTTGCACTGAAGGGGTCCTCGCGGATGTTGAAGGATTTGGCGAACATTTCCCGCCGATTCTGGTCGCACGCTGGGTTCCCGGGTTCCCTGTTCTGGATTCCCAGGTTCCTGGTTCCTGGTTCCGGGCCGATTTCGGAGGGCGGCGAGGTTCCTGGGTTCCCGGGTTCCTGGTCGATCTTCTTATCAATCGGTCTCACGAACGATCTCATTACCCACTTCTCTATCGATCTCACCATCGATCTCACAATCGATCTCACGATCGATCTCACAAGGGATCTCACCAGAGATCGCATGAGCGATCTCGCGATCGATCTCGCTATCGATCTCATTGAACCGATTTTACTCTCGGTCTCACGATCGACCTTACAATCGTCCTCACTATCGATTGCACAATCTATGCCATTATCGATCTCACAATCGATATTAAGATCCATAGTATTAATGTTCAAATCATCCACTGGCTGGAATTTTCTCAAGTGTGATTGGTACATTGATCATGGGACACCGTGCAACTCTTGCAAGTGATTAATACGAATGTGCGCGGCGCTAAAACGAGAATCACAATTTGAAAAGGAACCACCCTCGATCCGTGAAACTGTTGCAAACGTTCAAAACGAATGTGCGCGGCGCTAAAGGCGATAACCACATTTTGGAAACGACCCGCCCTCAATCCGCGAAGCTCTTGCAAATGCTTAAAACGAATGTGCGCGGCGCTAAAGCGAGAGCCACACTTTGGAACCGACCCGCCCTCGATCCGTGAAGCTCTTGCACATTCTTAAAGCGAATGTGCGCGGCGCAACTGCGAGAACCACATTTTGAAAACCGCTTGCCCTTAATCCGTGAAGCTCTTGCAATTAAACAAACAAATGTGCGCGACGCTGAGGCGAGAGCCACAGTTTGAAAACGACCCGCTCTCCAGATCTGAAACTGTTTCTTAAACTTCATAATTATAAATGGTGAGGAAATCTCAGGCGAAACGCTCGGCCCGCCGTAAAAACTGGCCTCGGGGTGCGACAGGGAGAAGTTATTCAGAATAAACAGGAATGGAGGAGGAGGAGGCCGGGGCGCCTACTCCGAGTCTCTTTATAAGCGTCGGGGGGGGGGGGCGTCACCCCCGCCGACAGCCCCACATCGACCCCCGTCGCGGGCAGCCACCGCGCGCCAAAGGCGCTCCGATCCCCGTCGCGGCGCGACGACGAGGCGAGTTTGACCCCGTCGGGGGGGTACCTCCCCCACGCTCATTCCGAAACCCAATCTGTTTCGGCGACCGGGGGCCCGAAGATGTCCATTTCCCCCGCCTGCCGAGGTTCCCGAAAACTGATCCTCCAGGCAGGAGGAGGAGGAGGAGGAGGAGGAGGAGGAGGGAGGAGGAGGAGGGAGGTGGAGGAGGAAAGCAGGAGGAGGTGGAGGAGGAGGAGGAGGAGGAGGAGGAGGAGGAGGAGGAGGAGGAGGAGCCTCGGACAAGGGGGCGCGGGGGGCAGCGAGCCCCAGCACGGGGGAGGGGGAGGGGGCGAGGAGGCCGCGCCGTCCCGCGGAGATCCGCCTCCGCTCCCCGCCTGCGGGAAGCTCGTGCCGTGCCGACTTCGGCGCTGGTTCTCGACACCGCGGGGATCCGTTCCGCCTCGAGCGATCGGCCGTTTCCCCAAGCGTTCGATCGTTCGACATCGACCGATTCTGGGCCGCCGCCGTCATTCGACGTTGAACGCTGGCGGCGGGGTCGCCGCCAGTCAACACGACGCGAACCTACCGTACTCCCTCCGCGCTCCTCCGATAGGCGCTCGATTCGTATACACCGCGTCGTCTGGTCGGCCGCCAAGGCGCTCACGGTGCGCAACTCCCTGGCTTCTCAGCCTGTGAGGCGCTGCAGCATCTGCGCACCGAACGCCCTCGACAAAGCTCTTGCTCGGGCAAACTTGACAGAAGGGTGCGAAGCGACTGGAGCAGAGAGTCAAGGACACCAGCGCAGGAGGCGAGGGGAGCGAGGGGAGGCAGGAGAGAAAGAGAGGGAGAGAGCTGGGGCGGAGGGGCAGGGAGCGTGGAGGGGGGCGCAGAGGCCGGGGAGCAAGGTGGGCAGGACCGGGTGCTGCCAGGTGCGGTTTTGGCCCAGGGTGGCCCCAGCTTTTCCAGGGAGGCCCAGCTGACCTCCATAGTATTAGGTCGTGCATGCCCTCCTACAGGCGGATTTCGGAGGAAAACTACGAACGCCAAATATACATTTATATATATCTATATATATATATAGAGAGTTTTATTAAACAAACAACAATGGAAGAATCGCCCCCCGACTATTTTTGTAGAGGGACGTGCCCGACTTCACCATGGTACCCCCCGCGTGGCCCCGAGGGCCCCAGGCGCTCCAGCACGGCACTCAGAACGCCAGGGGCGCCGTGGGCCACGAGGGACGGAGCCCTCCAGTGTTAGGTCGAACACGTCCCCCTACAGGCGGATTTTGGACAAATGAAAAAGAGTCATGAAACATACTTACAAATAGTCAAAAATGGTCAAACAACAAAATGATAAAAATCGTCCCCAGACTAGTGTTTCACTATTTTTGAATATCCCCCCTGCAGAGGGACAGGCCCTACTTAACTCCAGTGGGGAGCCGCAGACCAAAGAGAGGCCCACGGCGGCGTGGGCCTCTTGTTGTGCACCATCTCGGGCGGCAGGTAGTCGAGGGTCCCGCAGAACCTGGCGGGACCGCCCAGAGGCCGAGAGTGAGAGCCAGGCCTCGGAACACATGCGCACGATGCCCGCCCAAGGTCTAGAAAAGCTCGACTGACCATCCAATCCGCTTCCCATCACGGTGGCTATTATCGCTCCCGCTGTATGGCGAGAGCGTGGGCACGTACCACCCTGAAGCTCGAGGGCGGCAACCCATTGTCCTGGAGTGGCAGGCAGGACAAACGAAGACGGAGCGAATCGTGGCACGGCGCCAGGCCCGACGAGCGAATCGCAGCATGGTGCGATGCAGGCAAGACCGAGACACCTGGCGGGTTCCGGAAACCCTGCGCCCGAAGATGTCGTCGTCTCTCGGGGGCACACTTCTATCTTTAAGTCGGGCGTGTCCACCTGCAGGGGGATTTTGGTAGAAGAATGATAAATAATCAAACATACACCAAAAAAGCGTCCCCAGATTACATTTCCCTACCTAGGCTCTGCCTAGAGGGTTCTTACTTTGTTCTCTACCTAGGCTCTGCCTAGAGGGTTCTTGCTCTCTTAGCTTAAAGGGGCCAGGCAGTGTAAAGCGCCCCGGGCGGTTCCCCCAGTCCCCGCCCCGCGGTTCCCCCAGTCCCCTGGGAGCTTTAGCTTTACCTTTTAGCTTTAGCTTTAGCTTTCGCTTTAGCTTTAGCTTAGCTTTAGCTTAGCTTTACCTTAGCTTTAGTTTAAATTTAGCTTAGCTTTAGTTTAGCTTTAGCTTAGCTTTAACTTTAGCTTAGCTTTAGCTTAGCTTCAGCTTAGCTTTAGCTTAGCTTTAGCTTAGCTTTAGCTAGCTTTAGCTTAGCTTTAGTTTAGCGTTGGCTTAGCTTTAGCTTAGCTTCAGCTTAGCGTTAGCTTAGCGTTAGCTTAGCTTCAGCTTAGCTTTAGCTTTAGCTTTAGCTTTAGCTTTAGCTTAGCTTAAGCTTATATTTAGTTTAGCTGTAGCTTATATTTAGATTAGCTTTAGCTTAGCGTTAGCTTAGCTTTAGCTTAGCTTTAGCTTAGCTGTAGCTTAGCTGCAGCTTAGCTGCAGCTTAGCTTTACTGTAACTACTAATGCTGCTTTCCTAGGGGCTCCAACTCCTAGGTAGGGTCCACTGGGATAATTTGCTTAAAGCGGCCGGGCAGTGTAAAACGCCACGGGCGGTTCCCCCAGTCCCCGCCACGCGGTTCCCCCAGTTACGTCCCCTTAGCTTAGCGTTGCCTATCTCATCTTAGCTTAGCCTAGCTTAACTTAGCTTAGCTTAGCCTAGCCTAGCTTAGCTAAGCCTAGCTTAGCTTAGCTAAGCTTAGCTTTGCCCCGCTCAGCTTAGCGCAACATTAGCGCAGCCTAGCATGGCATAGCATAGCATAACATAGCGCAGCATAGCATCGCATAGCATAGCATAGCACAGCGCAGCATAGCATGTAATATCATAGCAACTCATATCATAGCATAGCATAGCGCATCATAGCATAGCATACCATACCATAGCGCAACATAGCAAAGTATAGCACAGCATAGCATACCGCAGCATAGCACAGCATAGCCTAGCGCAGCATAGCCTATCACAGCATAGCCTAGCCTAGCATAGCATAGCGCAGCATACCATTGCATAGCATAGCACTGCGCAGCATAGCATATCATAGCCTTATATTATATGTAGATGTAGATGTAGGTGTAGATGTAGTTGTAGATGTAGATGTGAGTCTCGCTGTTGATGTTGATGTAGATGTAGATGCAGGTGTGTATGTACATGTAGCCGTCGGTGTAGATGTAGATGCTGCTTTCCTAAATGCTCCAACTCCTAGGTAGGGTCGCACTGGGATAATGTGTAACTTCTTTTGAACATTCCTCCTGCAGAGGGACAAGCCCGATGTAATTCGACCTCCGCCGGCCTCCGCCGCGGTCTTCCGCCGGCCTCTGCCGGCGGGGCCGCCCCCGTTCTGCGGCCCCACAGCGCTGCGCCCAGGCCCGCCCAAACGGACGCTCCGCGTGGGGGGTCTGACTGGGGCCGGGGGGGGCTTCCGGGGGACTTCCGAACCTTCTGGGAAGGCCTTCTACTTCTCACTTCCCCCCCCCCTCGCTCGCCGCCGAGTGTGGGGTCTGGCTCAAACCTACCAACCTCGGCGCGTGGAACGTATGGCCAGATCACGGGGTGGACCCTAAACTTAGGTCGGGCATGCTCTCGTACAGGCGGATTTTGGACGAAACATCAAACATACATGCAGAACATCTCTTCACATTATAAAAAACGATCGAACAAACTCGTCCCCATACTATTCTTGGGCTACTTTTTAATCGCCCCCTTTAGAGGGACACGCCCGATCTAAGCCGAGGCAGAGCCTGCAGCTCCTTCGATCCTCGCAGGCGAGGCCCCTCCCGGCGCGCCCCACGCGTCGCGGACGCGCCGCCGGCGCGGCTCCCCGTGGGCAGAGAGGCAGGAAGACGGAGGCGCCAACCGCGCCACGCCACAAGCTTCAGGTCGGGCGTGTCCCTCGACAGGGGGGACTCTGGGCGATGAAGGGAAAAAGTCCAAACACACACACACATCCAAAATGCTCTAACAAATACGAACAGCTCATCCCCAGACGATTTGTGCTTACTATTTTTGAACACTTCTCCTGTAGAGGGACGCGCCCGACTTGACACCACAAACGCCTGCGCTCGCGCGGGCCCCCCCGTCCCGGGCAGGACTCCGGAGCGCTGGCGCGCTGCGAGGAGCCCCCCTGGGCACCTCGATCGCCAGAGGTTGCACGAGCTCGCGCGCCCCACTCCTCCGTGGCCTCCGCCCTCGCCCCCATGCGGCCCCCCGTCCTGGGGCGCCACTCGGGGGGAACGAAAGGGGGGGATGGGGAAAGGGGGGGTTACGAAATCTGCTGCATGCAGCTGGCTTCGGCCCCGCCGCCGGGCCCATTCCTCGATACGTGGGCGCCTCCCGGCGCTGGGAGGCGCTGGGAGAATCAGCTACGTGAGCCGATTCTCTACCCTACCCTTGGCTATCCCCACCCCTTCGTCCCCCCGAGTGGCGCCCCCCCCCCCCCCCCTGTCGTTGCCCCTGTCCAGGAGATCTCCGCTCTGGGAGGACAAGAAGCACAAGACTCCGCTGCTCCACAGACCTTTCCCAGGAGGCGTTCTGACCAGCATTCCGAGGCTGACCCGGCCGTGACCACGAGGAGAGGCCTCCCAGATGGGGTCCGAGTAGATGGGGTCGGAGGATCGCGCCGCATCACAGATACATCAGCGATGCATCGGCGATGTATAGGCGATGCACCAGTGATGCAACGTCGACATCGGCGATGCGTCGGCGACGTCGACGTGAAGCGAATCGGGCTCCACATCGCGCCGCATCGGCGGTGCATCGGCGGTGCGGCGCGATCCTCTGACCCCATCAGCTCTGACCAGGGGGCCTCCCTGGAGGCCCAAAGAGTCCCTCCTCCTCCTCCTCCTAACCCTCCCCCTCCCCCCATCGCCCCTCCTCCTCCTCCTCCTCCTCCTCCTCCCCTCCTCCTCCTCCTCCTCCTCCTCCTCTCCTCCTCCTCCTCCTCCGCCTCCTCCTCCTCTCCTCCTCCTCCTCCTCCTCCCCCCTCCCCCCTCCCATCCCCCTCCCCTCCCCCTCCCCCCCCCCCTTTTTTTCCCCCCCCTCCTCCCCCTCCTCCCTCCTCCCTGACTCCTCCTCCCTCCTCCCTCCTGCCTCCTGCCTCCTCCCTCCTCCTCTCCTCCCTCCTCCTCCCTCCTCCCTCGCGGTCCCCTCCTCGTCCTCCTTCCCTCCTCCCTCCTCCCTCCTCCCCCCTCCCCCATCCCCCCTCCCCCCTCCCCTCCTCCTCCTTCTTCTTCTTATTCTTCTTCTTCTTATTCTTCTTCTTCTTCTTTTTCTTCTTCTTCTTTTCCTTTTCTTATTCTTCTTCTTCTTCTTCGTCTTCGTCTTCTTCTTCGTCTTCTTCTTCGTCTTCTTCTTCTTCTTCTTCTTCTTCTTCTGCTTCTGCTTCTGCTTCTGTTTCTGCTTCTGCTTCTGCTTCTGCTTCTGCTTCTGCTTCTGCTTCTGCTTCTTCTATAGCTTCCTCTTCTCCTTCCTCTTCCTCGTCCTCTTCCCTCCTCCTCCTCCTCCTCCTCCTCCTCCGCCTCCCCCTCCTCCTCCCTGCCTCCTCACTCCTCCTCCTCCTCCTCCTCCCCTCTTCCTCCCCTCCTCCTCCTCTCCTCCTCCTCCTCCTCCTCTCCTCCTCCTCCTCCCTCCCCGTCCTCCACCGTCCTCCTCCTCCTCCTCCTCCCTGCCTCCTCCTCTGCATCCTCCTCCGCCTCCTCCGCCTCCCGCCCCGCCTCCGCCTCGGCTCCTCCTCCTCCTCCTCCTCCTCCCTCCTCCGCCTCCTCCTCCTCCTCCTCCTGCTCCGCCCTCCGCCTCCGCTCCGATCCGCCTCGGCTTCCCTCCCCTCCTCTCCTCCTCCCCTCCTCCTCTCCTCCTCCTCTCTCCTCCTCCCTTCCTCCTCCCCTCCCCCCCCTCCTCCTCCCCTCCTCCTCCTCCTCCTCCTCCTCCTCCTCCTCCTCCTCCTCCTCCTCCTCCTCCATGCGCAGGCCTGAGAACAGACCTGTGGAAACCGCCTGCTCCAGCCAGGAGGACGTAAGACCCGCTTCGGGGGACTTGTTGGCCTGACGGGGCCGTCAGGAAAACGGCCAGGCCCAACCTGAAGTTTGACGCGAGCTCCCGCCACAAGCATCCCACAACAACTGGACCGTCTAAACTTAGGACGGACCCCGTCGAACAACGTCGGCGAATCCGAGTTCTGGCGAACTCGATCCTTACTGCTTGCGTGATAATCGACCCCCAACCCAACAAAACAGGACTGCCCATGATGGACGTAAATTCACAGTTCTCTGTCGCTAAATTGCTGATTATGTGCAATGTCTACATGCCACTCCTTCACAAACCCTGCCCCGACTTGTGGCTGTCGCGGTCGCCGCGGCGACAGTCCACACCGACCTGGAGGTCTGGTTCGGAGTCGAACATTACGCATCAACTAACGTAGAGGCCTCCTGGATGGGGTCCGAACAACTGGGGTCGGAGGATCGCGCCGCATCGCCAATTTATCCCATCCGGGAGGCCTAGACTTACGTTCACCCGATCAGGACTGCCACAGAGGAGCAGAGAACTACACAACTACATAATGCTCGGACGTCCGCGCGGACCATCGAACATGTACGCTTATGCTGTTGATTGCTCTTCGAATGGCGCCCGACCCACGCAGATCGAAGAACGGGCGTTCCGTGACGGGGAGCCGACACGTGTGGGGGGGGGGGAAATCGAAAGCTGGAGAAACGAAAGCTCGTGCTGTGCCGCTGGTCCGTTCGACGCATACAATATCGCGCCGCGGGAGGGCGCCTGCCCCCCCCCGGCGGCGCGGGCCCCCGCCGCACGGGCCGAGCATCACTGGGCCTCGCAGGAGCCGCCGCGGCACAGCAGCCCCCGCGCCGGCAGGGGCGCGGCGGGCCCGGCCCGCTGCTCCGGCCGCTGGGGCTCGAAGTGGCCCCGGAGCGCCTCGAAGACCTCGGGGGGGGCGACTCCTCCTCCCCCTCTTCCTCCTCCTCCTCCTCCTCCTCCCCCTCCTCCTCCTCCTCCTCGTCCTCCTCCTCCTCCTCCTCCTCCTCCTCCTCCTCCTCCTCCTCCCCCTCCCCCGCCCCCTCCTCCTCCTCCTCCTCCTCCTCCTCCTTCCTCCTCCTCCTCCTCCTCCTCCTCCTCCTCCTCCTCCTCCTCCTCCTCCTCCTCCTCCTCCCGGGAGCTGGAGCCGTCGGGTCTCTGAGGCTGGGCGCGACGTACTTCGGAGGTGGACGAACCTCCCTTTCGTAAACCTCCCGTTTAATGAAAACGGCCAAGGACCGGAACCGACGGACCCGGAACCGCAAAAATGACGGCCGCGACGCCCTCTCGCGAACCGAAAGCGGCCGATCCCTGAATCGACGTGTCAGCGTGGGAGGTCTGTCCACCTCCGAAAATTTAGAGGGCAACAAATCAAGCCCCACCATAATCACCCCGACACTCGAAGCAGTTTCGTAAACGGCGCCCGAAGAAGGAATCGAGCAGGGCAGGGATGTTTACTCAAAGCCCAGGGCCGTGTAGTAGACGCCAATTATCTGGTCTGGGTGGTTTTTCCTCCCTTGGCTAGTGGCGGGGCGATACATGGGAGGGGGAGAAATGTGCCCTTCTCGAGCCCTGGAGGCCCCCTTCTGAGCCAGGAAAGGCGCCTTCAGGGGCCCTGAAGGGTCCCTTGTCGGCTTCCCTCGCTACCCCCCCCCCTTTGATTGCCCTCCCAGAAGGAGGCCCAACACTGAATCTGGCAAGCGGGAAAGACGGGCTGGTTCGATCTCGAGTCCCTGGGTTCGGAAGGGCTTTTCGCTGTGTTCGGTTTCCGTGGTCGCCCGTCTTCGGGCCCGGGGACCATGAATTACGCGACCGAGGAACCCGACATACCTATGTTAATTCCTGCGTGTACCATCGGCACTATTCTTAGTACCACCACAACAACACCACCACCACCACCACCAACAACAACAACAACAACAACACCACCACCACCACCAACAACAACAACAACAACAGCAACAACAACAACAACAACACCAACAACACCAACACCACCACCACCACCAACAACAACAACACCAACACCACCAACAACAACAACAACAACATCATCATCAACAACAACAACAACAACAACAACAACAACAACAACAACAACAACAGCAGCAGCAGCAGCAGCAGCAGCAACAACAACAACAACACCACCACCACCACCACCACAACCACCACCACCACCACCAACAACAACAACAACAACTACTACTACTACTACTACTACTAAGACTACTACTACTACTACGACTACTACGACTACTACGACTACTACTACGACTACTACTACTACTACTACTGCTACTACTACTGCTAGCACTTCTACTTCTACTACTAGCACTACTAGTTCTAGTACTACTAGTGCTACTAGTGCTACTAGTACTACTAGCACTACTAGCACTACTAGTACTAGTACTGGTACTACTACTATTACTACTACCTCTAATACTACTAC